AGGGATGTTTGTGGCGTGAATACCCTTGACCCTCTTATGAGGAAGGTAGCAGATGTGGTGTTCTGATCCCGGGCTTGTCTTTCACCAGAGCCATAACTAGAGTGGGACAACTGGGGCTTGTCCCATAGTGGTGGAATTTATGGGGGGCTCTGACAGCACCTTTGGTCTTAGAAGAGCCAAGAAATAACTGAGCTTAGCACCTAGTTAGCAAGAATAATGAATTAAACTAGGAAGCGACCAAATGACAGCTTTCTCTTCCACTGCCAATCGTGTTTCCAGTTCTTTGCTACTACCATAAGCTGCTGTGCAGATTTGGGGATAAATGGGGCTTTTATTCCTATCTTTGCCCTCCTGGGGGTAGATGTCTAGCAGTGGGATGTCTGGATCAAAGAACAAGGACGTTTTGGAGCCTATTTTCAAATTGCTTTCCAGAATGGTTGGAGCACATCACGGCTCCCCTAATAGTACATTAGCGGGCTTGTCATTCTTCAGCCCCTCCAACGTGGACTAATTACATCTCTTGTCATCTTTGCCAATTTGCTAGGTGTGAGGTGAACCCTCAGAGTTGTTTTGATTTGCATTTGTCTTATTATGAGTGTTTTGGAGCCATCTTTCATATGGTGGTTGACAGTTTACAATTCGTTTCTTTAAATAAATTTTATTGTTATCACTTGTTTTTAGATTGCTTATATCTCCCCACTATATTCCTCATCTTCTCAGAAAGCTATCCATGATAATGAAGGATGAAAAAGGAAGAAAGAAACAAACGTTCTGCTAAATTAAAGAGAGAAGCCTGAGATGTGCAGGTTCCCTCCATCCCCGAAGGTCTCCCACGTCTGTAGGAGGGCGACTCATATCACTGCCTTGGGACTGAGCTTAGTGATACCATTCAGTTTGGACAGTTTTGTCATTTTTAGTTTTTCCATGTGCAGTGCTGTAGTCATTGTGTATATAACTATAATATACATTGTGAATATTACTCTGTGGTCATTGTGTATATCACTTTCCTGGTTCTGCTCACTTCACTTCCTTTCATTCATCATGCTCACCATTTCTTCCAGCACAGTAATATTCCATTACATTCATGTGCCACAATTTATTTAACCATTATAGATAGCTAGGCTGCAAATTGGATAGAACTCTGGGCCTGGAGTCAGGAAGACTTGAGTTCAAATTTAACCTCGAACACTCACTAGCTGTGTGAGACCTTGGGCAAGTCACTTAACTTCCAACTGCTTCCATTTCCTCATCTGTAAAATGGGAATAATAATAGCACCTACCTTTCAAGGTTGCCATGAAGATCAAATGAGATAATATTTGTAAAGTGCGTAGCACAGTGAGTGGCACATAGTAACCTCTTGAAAAAATACTTGTTTCCTTCCTTCCATTCTTCAATCAATGGACATATATTTTGTTTTCAGTTCTTTGCTGCCACAAAGAGAGCTACAGTGAATATCTTGGTGTATATGGTACTCATCTATATACCTTTGACAACCTTGATTTGAATTTCTCTTATTATTAGAGATTTGGAGCAGTCTTCCTTATGATTGTCAATCATTTACAATTCCTTTTTTTGAAAGAAGTTTTTCATATCTTTGGATCACTTATCTGTTGGACAAATTGCACTTAGTCTTACATTTTTGTGTTACTTCCCTATATATCTTTCAATCAGATCCTGATGAAAGACATTTCTTTGTATCCCCAGCAATTAGGGGTGGTTAGGTGGCACAGTGAATAGAGCCCTGGACCTGGAGACCTGAGTTCAAATCCAGCCTCAGACACGAACTGGCTGTGTGACCCTGGGCAAGTCATTTAACCCTGTTTGCCTCAGTTTTCTCATCTGTAAAATGAGCTGGAGAAGGAAATGGCAAGCCATTCCAGCATCTTTGCCAAGAAAACCCTAAATGGGGTCACAAAGACTCAGACATGGCTAAAGCAACTGAACAACAACAACAAGAACATCCCCAGCAATTAGCACAATGCCTGGTCCATGTGCTTTAATAAAGCCTTATTGACTGACTCAGATTTTTTGATAGCTTCCCTCTTATTGATGTTTTCAATATTTTGCATCATTACTTGTTATTAGTAGTTGGTTTATTAGTACATTGCATCGTTAGTTTTATTAGTACATTGCATTAGTAGTTGCATTGATTTTATTAGTGCAAAAGCTTTTCAATGTCATGTGATGGAAATTATCTCCTTTCTCTTTTTTGATAACCTCTCCCACCAGTCTGAAAGCTATCTGATCTCATTCTCTTTTAATTTTCTTATTGTATGACCTTTGTCATGCAGATCATGTATTTTCTCTGTACTTGGTATGGGTGTATGATACAAGGTGCCGTCCTAAGCCTCACTTCTGCCAAGCTGCTTTCCAGGCCTCAGGCACAAAAATTGCTAATCATGACTATGGTTTTTTTCATTACAGATTTTTAAATTTTCTATGCTACATTTATAATTGAAACTCCATAGGTCTTTTAGGACAATTTACATTCCTCTGATTAAACCCTGATGTCTAGTGGCATTTCTCCTGAACAACTTAAATGTTTCAGGGATTGGTTCCCATCACTCCAGAGGGTGTGTGTGTGTGTGTGTGTGTGTGTGTGTGTGTGTGTTCTTTTTTTTAAACAAAAGAAACTCTTTAAGCAAGGGGTTTTACTGGGGAAAAGCTCTACTGATCCGTCCCAAAGGAATCCTTCCTTACCTCTCTGTCCTTGCAGGAGTGCTAGGGCTTTAACAAGGAAGAAGTTTGTGGGGAGGGCAAGACCACAGATAAATGGACCATGGATGATCACCTGACACTTAGCCATCTAGCCCAGACTTCTGTATTTGGCCCTCAAAGTCCCACCATCTCTAGGCAACCTTATTTTCCATGATCGTTTATTTTGTTAAGTCCCACAAACATTTCACTTTCCTTCCTGCCATCTCCTTTCCTGAATGACAAAACACTTGAGGGATTGCAATATGCTATCAAGGAAAGCAGTTTGATGTGGACTCAGAAAACCTGGGTCCAAGGCCTGACTCCACCATTGTGTAATACTAGGCAAGTCTTTCATCCTCAGTTTCCTCATCTGTGATATGAGAGAATAATTAGCTCTTGGTATTATGATGCCTTCCATTATTCACTATTGCTTCCTGTGGATGGGTCTTTAAAGGAACCCCTCCTCTGGGTATTCATCATGGCAGTTCTTAGTTTTCAAAGTCTATCCTGGGAGAAAACAAACTCTGCTAGGTCCTACCAAGCTGGGAAGGCTTTGAATACAGGTCTGGTGACGGACTGTGTATCTGTCAACCAAGGACCAACCTAGTTATGTGTGAAGAGGCTCAGCACCAGGCAGCTGGTCAGATGCATTTGGGGAGGGGGAAGAGCATAGCAATTCGTGAGAACCATCTTGTTGAGGCACTGGTGAGTTTTGACCCATTGTGATGAAATTATGCATTGTAGCATCAGAAGAGCATAGATTTGAGAGACCTTAGAGGCCAGTTAGTCCAACTCACCCATTTTGCAGATAAGGAAACTGAGGCCCAGAGAGTGAAAGCAGTGTTCCACAGATAGGAAGTGGCAGAGCCCTATATTTCAGCTGAGTTTGGGGACAGTCTCAGTGACAACCTTAACTATATTCCTGCTCTGGGGCAACAGTGTGGTATGATGGAAGGGGTGCTGACTGGAGTCAGGGAATCTGCCTGTCTCTTTCTACCTGAATGACCTTGTTCAAGTCACAACCTCTTGGACCTTAATGTCCTCATCTGGGACCTCAAAGATCATTTCTAATTCCAGATGTGTGATCTCATGAATCTGGGAGCCCACCTTGGATGGCCACTAATGGCAGCAGGACCATAGAAAGAACATTAGTAATCATTGGGCCCCATTTGACAGAAGAGGAACCCTAATGCCCAGAGATTAGAAGTCATTTGCCCAAGGTCGTACAAAATAGCCAAACTTAGAGTCAAACTCCTGACGTTTGGCTCCAAATTCAGGGCTGTCTCTAGCACAGGTTTCTGGAGCTTGAGATCCCCTCTATGCCCAGTTACTATGTAGCATCGCATTTTCTTGCCAACCCCTTTCTTCTCCCAGCACACATACAGACACAATTCATCTATATTCTCCAAGAACAGTCTCTCTTCTCCTTCCTCGACTCCACCCTACTCCCCCCCCCCCCCCGCCATGGAGCAGCCAGTTGCTGTGGGCAGTAGCACATCCCCATCAGAAGCATCTTAAGTGATCTTTTATTATCAGAGCAAAGGTATTCATCCCTTCAAATCCCTCTCCCTCTCCCTACCCCAATCATTAATTAGTTAACTCGCAAGACAGCCTGCTGAGAAGGATCAGGGTTATTAGCCCCATTTTGGAAAGAATTAAACTGAGCAGGAAGGTGGTGAGTCACGGGCCTGCTGCAGTAGGCCAGCCAGGAAGTTTGCTCTCAGCTTGCTCTTCAGTTGCTAAGGCAGGGAACCCAAGAAGAGCTTTATGTTTTTGTTTTCTTTTGAATAAATTTTATTGGTACCCTTTGTTTTTGTTACAGTCATTCCCAGCTTCCCCTCTCTCCTTCATATTGAATCCACCCTTCTAACAAAGAAAACCAAGCAAAAACACCCAATCCAGCAACTGTGTCTGGCATTGTATGCAGCATCCTGCCTCTCTGCCTAGAGGAGGAAGGTCTCATATGTTTTCCCACTTACTCAGAGTCTGACTTCTTTTCAGTGGTCTTTTCATTCGCATGGCTGTGGCCCCTGTGCATGTTTCCCTCCTATCTTTCCAAGATGGGAGGGTGAGGGTCAAGTCTGCATTACAGAAGCAGAAGACAGCAAGGGCTCTTGGAGAAGTCATCTAGTCTACTGCCCTTTCATAAGGGACAGCCCCTATTCAGAGCTCTCCAGAGATGGAGCTGGGGAGCTAGTTTGAGCATCTAACAAGCTTCCTTGTAAAAGTCCTCCTTTGCAGAAGACCTAAATCCTGGGTACTGAAGCTTAAGTAGGTCATTGCCTTGTTTTGTGTCTTCCAGGTTGACCATTCATGCTGAATGTCCCATGCACTTGGAAGACTTCCCCATGGATGTGCATGCCTGCCCACTGAAGTTCGGAAGCTGTAAGTCTGTTCTCATTGTTCACTGGCCCTGTGGCCTTCTCAGTAGGAGCCATCAGCCCCAAAGTCTGGGGCCCCAGGGTTTATCCCAAATACTTTTGCTCATTGTTTAACATGTATCCACAGGTGACTGTTAACAGTGATCTGAGCAGCAGAGAAAGGGGGCATGGTGGGGTACTGACTGGCCAGGAGCTAAAGAATCAGCTTCAAGCTCAATCCCATCCTGGTCTCCTAGTCTGCAAAATCTTTGCAGAAAACCAGAATCTTTCCATTCTATTTATTCCCATGCAGACAGGAAAAGACCAGTGGAGTAGAGTTCAAGTGCTGGGTGGGGGATGAGCCCATAGAAAGGAGTGGGGATCTTCTTGGAAAGGGACTGGGCCTGAACACCAGGACCTGGGTCCCAATCAATGGCTTGGGCCCAAAGGGCAAAGTCAAGCTCTACTTCTTACCAACCATCCAGAGCAGATAGTAAGTGCTTCCCTTTCCTGGTGGCCTTCTCCAGTGGTTATTAGGTTAGGCTTCTGGCATGGTCCTACATGTAAGGAGCCAGTGGCCTGACGCATGGAAGCAAGAGCTTTGGAGCTGGAATGGAGCTTGGAGATCAAATAAAGGGGATGAACTGGATGATCTCTAAAGTCCCTTCCAGCTAGGATCTTGTGGGGTCCAACTTAGTGATTTGATGAAGAGTTGGAGCCACTCCCCCCATTTCTCCCCAGGCATGAGGCCCTCATACTCTTCTCATGACTACCAACGATACCTTGGGGAAAATCCAAACATTGGAAAAGAAGAGTGTCTCAGATAGCACATCTCCCCTTCCTGCTCTGTCCTGTGCTCTACCCACCCCACCCCTAGGCCCCTGAGTAATATTGACCCCTTTGACTGTCCCTTCCTCCCACTTGTTAGCACTCATGAGTTGAAACCCCAATAATACTGGCAGCCAGAGTGGTGCGGTGGCTGGTGCCAATTTAGAATCAGAGAATTTGGAACTGTAAGGGACTACTGAGATCATTTAGAACAGGGCTGTTTCATCTTCATTGTGTCCTGGGCCCCTTGGGCAGTATCTGATGAAGCCAATCCCCACCCCCACCCCCGTAAATTTCTGTGAGAGGTTAGTGGAAATTAAGATGGATTTTTCCCATCCAATTTTATATCCCCCCAAATTTATTTATGAACCCTCAGGTCCATGGACCCTAGGTTGAGAACTTCTGATCTAGATTAACTCCTACATTTTATGAGTGGGAAAATGACCTGGAGAACTAAGGTGATTCACTCAAGGTCACACAGTGAGCTAATGCCAGAGCATGATTTGAACCAGGGTCTCCTGACTCTAAAACTTGGTTTTTCTCTACTATAAATCCTGTCTCCCACACGGTATCTATATATGCCCTAGGGAGTAAGGCAAGCACTGCTCTGTGGGGTGGCAGAGAGAGAAAAGCCAACTGGGGAGGCCTAAACTTAGAGGTAGGCAGTGAAAAAATTATTCTCCCATTTTGCAAATGAGAAAAGTAAAGGTGAATGACTGAGCTAAGATCATACAATAAATGAGCAGTAGAGTTAGTTAGGACTTGACCCCAGGTTTTTGGAGTCCACCTGAAAGCCACTTTCCTGGATACCATGCAGCCTTACTTCATGTTGCAGCCTTACTTCATGTTGCAGCCTTACTTCATGTAATGTGAGATGAAAGCTTTCACCAAACTTGGCCATATTTGTAGTTTGGAAGGTTCCTGATTTGGTCAGGTTGATTGGGGGCAAGTTCCTCTAGAAATGAGAAGCCGAGAATAGTTGAAGACACGCTAGCTATTGAGATTGAACGGTGACAGAAGGGGAAGAACTGAAGAAAGGAGAGCCTGGGCTTTGAAGAGAAAAAGTCAGACCAAGTAATTCAGGGGATTGAAAGGGCAGCAAGTAGAGATATCAGGGAAACACTTGGGGAGGAGTTGACACCTGACTTGTGTTTAGAAGGAAGACTATACATTCCAAGAAGAGGACAAGAGTTCATTCTAGACTTGGGGGACCACTTATACAAAGGTATGAAGGTGGGAAATAGAATGTTACATATGGCAAACAGGATGCAGTCCAGTTTGGCTGGAACATTGAGTGTGTGAGGAGGAACAGTATGACCGAAGACTGAAAAGGATAGTAATAGTCATATGACAGAAGGAAGGAAGGAAATAAGTATTTACATAGCACCTACTACGTGTAGGTACTGCAAAAAGCATTTTATAAATTTTATCCTTGCGACGACACTTTAACTACTAGTTTAAGCATGGATGGCCAAAAGGTTCAACCCTCCCAGGAGGGATTTGTGTCCCCAAAGAAGAGCTTGTTAATCCCTGGTGAGGTTCCAGTGGTGGGGTGAGGAGACCGTTGAGCAGGGTCTTTGGGGAAGGCGGAGTCATTGTTTACTTCAGACCACTGTTGGGCAGCCCCTCCCCTACTGAAATGCTGCTCTTTTGGGGTGGAGGGACAGTGCAAATAGCCAGAAGCTCCCAGATTTTTACTCAGTAAGCCCATGCAGCTCAGAAAAAAAAAAAAAAAAACAACAGGCCTCCAGCTGGGGAAAAGCAAAGCAACTTTGAGAATAGGGGCATGAAGAACCTGCAAATGAAGAAAAGATTTCCTCCATTCCTTGTAATACCATGTTCTTGAGAACGTCCAAGAGTGAGGGCTTTAGAGCTCCCTTTAGGAAAGTTTCCATTGGACTGCTTAAGCAGTACTGAAGAATTCCTGCAGAGGGCACTGAGACCCACTATTCAGAGCAGCAGCCATAAAAGGAATGGCAGTGATAGCTCCTGTTTGTATTAGGCTGGATCTGGAGTTAGAGCATCTGGGTTCAAATCTCAGCTCTGCTATTTACTCTCCAGAAGATTTTGTCAAGTAACTCAACCTCTCTGGGCCAGAGTTTCCTCATGTATCAAATGAGGGGGCTGGACCAGACAGCCTCTGAGATCCCCTAGAGCTCTAGACCAGCACTTCTTAAACTGTGGGTAATGAGTGGAAAAAGCTTAAGAAGTGGGGCAGCTAGGTGGCGCAGTGGATAGAGCACTGGCCCTGGAGTTGGGAGGACCTGAGCTCAAATCCAACCTCAGACACTTACTAGCTGTGTGACCCTGGGCAAGTCACTTAACCCCATTGCCTAGCAAGAAACAAACAAACAAAAAAAGCTTAAGAAGCCCTGCTCTAGAGTGCTCGTAACATGGACAGTTCAGTAACCAGATTGCTTCACAGACACAATCTCAATGGATCCCTCCACCCAACAACTTTGTGAGGAAAGTGGGGCAAGTAGCATTTTTCTTCCCATTTTAGAGATGAGGCAAGTGAAGCTCCACAAGGTTAAAGGACTTGGCCAGGTCATGGGGATAGAAGAGATGGAGCCCAGAAGAAAATGAGGCCATGAGTTCAAACCCAGCCAGAAAGAGCACACTGATTAGGTGCTTGGAGCAATCTTTGGGTACCACGCTCCTGGGCCAGGGTCATTTAAAATGAGTTACAAGATGATGTCATGAATTAGGGGCCATCAACTCAATGTGACAAGCACTTATCAATGGCAAATACGTGCCACGTGTCTGGCACTATGCTAGGGACTGGGGATAGAAACAGAAACCAAAAAGTTCTTGTCCTCAAGGAGCATACGTTTTACTGGGGTAGTGGGGCAAAACGTGCACAGATGAATTAACACAAAGCATATACAAAATAATTGATGGGGAGACTAATAGTAAACAAGCAGGAAAGGTTGGCACTTGAGCTGAGCCTTGAAGGGAGCTAGACAAGCTCTGAGGTACGGGTGAGGAGGGATGGCATTCCTAACATAGGGGACGGTCTGTGCAAAGGTCCAGAGGCAGGAAATGGAATATTATCTATGAGAAGCACCAAATAGGCCAGTTTGGTTGGAATACTGAAGGTGTGAACAGGAATTATATATGATGTGGAACTCTCCTCCAGTTGGGAGAGTTGGTAGGGTTTTAATATGTTCTCCTAGGTTCACTGGAAAAAATGGGTTTGGCTAGCCACAGAGGCAACTGCATCATGGGATCCATGTAAGAACAGGGAAGAAGAGTAACACTGGCTACCACCTAAAGGTGCCCCTTACACTCTGAGCCTCCGTATCAGTGTTCCAGGTGGCTTTTTGCAGCCTCCTTTGAAAGATCATTGACAGGGCTCTCGTGGCCTGGGAGCTGGAGCTGATGGATTCTCCTGGAGGAAGAGGCTGAAGGTCATCTGACTTTGGGTGGAAAAGTCAAGACTTGGTTTGCCTTTGTGTCTTGCTCTTGGAGAGTCAGCTGCAAAGGGAAATGGATAAGCTCAGGTTGGGAACAGTACAGCAGGGAGAGGTTCTGCCTAGACTTTCTAGTTCGGCTCCTGGGCCTCGGCCTGAACCTCACTAGGACTTATTGCTCCCCCTTAAAAACCAAGGGGAGCCATTAGTGAGCACTTCTTGACGTAAGATTAGGGTCAGTTATTGAGGCACAACTCAGTGACCAGGAAAAAGGAGATTGAGAGTGCTAGAGCATCTCTGGAGAAGCCTTGGCAGCATGAGCTTCAAATCTAGACTCACACATTTTCAGCCTTGATTCAACATAGGAATGACATATGGAACCACCAATACCTTTGCCATACTTTTCTCCAGGGTATGTGCCAGGAGGTGGAACCATAAAACCAGCGAGTTAGAGAACCTTAGAGGTCATCGAGTCTCACATTCCCATTTTTTCACATAGGGTAACTGAGGTGCAGAGAGATTAACATGCTTTCCCTGTGTACCGGTTTATTGTATGGCATTAAATGCAGTAAATTGTGTCTTCAGGGCTTTGGGGGGGTGGAGGAGGGAAGAAGGGAGGTAGGGAGAAGGAGAAAGCCATACATCGCCAAGTTGGGATAGAAAGGGGGCCTCTAGACCTGGGCTTTGCTCCAAGGTCCACTTTCCTGGGTCGCATAATTTTAGAGTTGGAAGAGACCTCAGAGGCTAAGGGCTACCTCGTGCTTGACAAGAAGTCATCCAGCCTTGGCTTGAAGAGCTCCAGTGAGTGGAAATTTACCACCTGCCCTCATAGCATGTTCCATGTTTGGATAGCTCCAATTATTAGGAAGTTTTTCTTGACATTCATCCTAGATGGACTTCTTTGAACCTTCCTTCCTCCCCGCCCCAACCCACATTGCTCTTAGTTCTTCCTTCTGGGGCTGAGCAGAATGAGACTAAACCCTTTTCCACCTGACAACCTTTCAAATACTTGAGCAGAGCTAACCATGGCCCTGCCCTGCCCCCCTCTTCCACCAAGTCTTCTCTCCCAGTTTAAATATGTTGTTTGTCCTTTGTTCTCAAAGAGGACCATGACATCAGGGAGGTGATGCCATGACATGTAAGTGAATTGGATTTAAGTGAGGGAGGGCTGTACGTAGTCACCAGCCTCACTTTCTCCTCCAGAGCCATCTGGGTCCAGTGGCCAGAAATGGATCAGGACAGCTGGAGATGGCCCAGGATGCAGTGGGGGATCTTGGCCTTTTCAAGCTCAGGTTTTTAACAGGTCTTAGTGTGGGATGTACTAGTGACTCCTTTCAAGGATTTTATTTCCTGGGGATTTCTGGGAAACTCCATTCCTCTTCCATCATCATAGCTATTCTCTATGCAGTCTAGTTGGTAGATAAACAGAGGCAGCTTTCTCCATCCCATATCTGTTTTAGCCCTTTTGATTAGATTTGCAAAACATTCGCCAAATGCAATCTTATCAGCCCTTGTTAGTTACATTCCATCCCTAGATGTCTCTGGATGTTGTTGTAGAAACCCCTGGAGCTTAGCAATGGCATTCTAAAAACCTTTGCTAATTAAAATAATAATAACAACAACAACAACTAATATTTATATAGCACTTACTATGTGCCAGGCACTGTGCTAAGCACTTTACAATTACTGTCTCATTTGATCCTCACAACAACCCTGGGAGGCAGGCACTATTGTTATCCCCATTTTATAGATGAAGAAACTGAAGCAGATAGAGTTTAAGTGACTTGCGAGGGTCACAAAAGTTGTAAGTATCTGAGGCTGGATTTGAACTCAGGTCTTCCTGACTCCAGGCATGGAGCTGTATCCACTGACCCACTTCGTTCATCCAGAAAATGTGCAATGCTACCAAATGTATACTGAGGATATTCCTTGCCAGTGTGCTTAGCAACTAGGAAATTCCAAGGTCATAAGCAGTGGGATGATGTTTCCAAGAAGCTAAAGGGATCAGAGGAGAGTATAGAAGAGTTGTTGTAGCAAATTACACATTTTTTTTAAGAATAGGAAGATGGAAACTTAAACACCTGGGCTAGATTTGATCATCTTGATTCCAAAAACATGAAACCTTTTAAAGTGCATAGATTGAAGAAATTGAGGTGAGACATCTTTAGTTGTGTGGACCTTAGACCGGTAGTTCTGGGTCTAACAACAGCATAGCATTCTTTATGAAAAGCACCATGAGAGAAAGTGTCATGCAAGGAACTTCAGAAAATTTTTTCAAGTTCTTTCCTCTTTTGCTGGAGTTTATTCAATGTCCTTCATTCTTCAGTGCTCCTCTCCTTGGATTCCAGGGGATGCTTCATTCCCAAGTCCATATCTCTAAAGGACAGATGTTCTTGATGAAGCCATTTTGTGAGACCACTTTGTGATCACTGCTTCCTTTTCTAAATGTTTACTAACCATCCATTTAATAATATGGTCTTGAATTTTGCCAGGGATCCAAGTTGAATTCTCCTGCCTATAGTCTCCACCCTTTACTATTTTCCCATTTTTCAAAATTAGGACAGAACTGAACAAAAATAGCCAGTGGGGAATTGATACTTAATAAAAATAGGAAGATAGTAAGACAGCTTCTAGCTTTCCTTGACAAGTTCAGGTCATCAGTCCCAAGTGAACTACAACCTTGGATATTGAAAGAACTGGCAGATGTGATTGCTGAGTCACTGTAAGTGATCTTTAAGAGATATTGGAAGATGACAGAGGTAGAGCACTTTTGGCAAAGGGCAGATATCCCAAGTATCCACAAAGGGAGGTGGTTGAATTTACAAACTATAAGCCTATGAACTTGACTTCTATTCCTGGAAAATTGTAAAAAAAAAAATTAAGAGATGATACATGAATATCTAGAAAAGGAAGTAGTGATCACAGGAGCCAGTAACGTGTCTTCAAAATCAGATGATGCCAGATTAACCTTATCTCCTTCTTTGACAGGGTTATTAGACTTGATCAGGGTGCTCTAGGTATAGTTTGCCTGGATTTGAGGAAATCATTTGAAAAATACTCTAATGTTGTTTGTGTGGAAATATGGAAAGATGAGCACTAGAAGATATTTACTATTTGCTATATTTATTTATTAGGTGAATTTGGAACTGGTCAGATGGCCACCTTGGAAGGAAGTATCTATCCGAGAGCCCTAAGTATCTGTGCTTGGTTCTGTGTTGTTGAAGACTTTTTTCAGTCACTTGGATAAAGGCATAATAAGTAGGATGCTTATCCAAATTTCAGGTGACAGAAAGCTGTGAGGGGTATCTAACATGCTGGAAGACTCAAGCAGGTCTAGAACATTGGGGGTGAATTTAGTGGGTTGAAATTCAATACAGTTAAATGTAAACTTGGCTTCAAAAAATCAACAGCACAAATCCAAGATAGGGAAAGAGTAACTAGATAGCAGTTCATGTGAAAAAAATATGGGGTTTTTGTTGCATTGTTAGCTCAGTATGAATCAGCATCACATGTAAGTTATAAAAGGTATGATGTCTGCTATAAGATACTCATAGTGTCTAGGGCAAGGGAGGAAATAGTTCTTCCATTATCTGCCCCTGTCAGACCACATCTAGAAGGTATTGTATTCAGTTCTAAGTGCTACATTTTAGAAAGGACATGGATAAGTTGGAGAGAGATCAGAGGAGGCTGACCAGGATGGTGAAAGGTCTGGAGATCATGGTATGTGGAAAGTGATTAGTGGTACTGGGAATATTTAGCATGGAGAAGGGAAGACTCAGGGAGGAGATGATAGTTGTGTTCAAGGATTTGAAAGGCTTTCCTGTGGGAGAGGGATTCTGCTTGTTATATCCAGCCCCAGAGGCAGAAGCAGCAGCAAATGGATAGAAGTCACAGAGGCAAAATTAGGCTTGATGTAAAGAAAAACTTCCTAACAATAGAGTTATCCTTGAGTGGAATGAGCTGCCTCGGTAGGTGGTAGCTTCCCTCTTGCTGGGATCTCGCTTGAGACCATTAAGGAGACACTGGATGACTATTTGTCAAGGATGTTGTTTAGGCATAGTTTGGGCTAGGTGGCCCCTGAGGTCCCTTCTAGCTCTGATGTTTCTGAGATTTTTTTTTTATCAAGCCCCCTGTAGGACTTCCACCAAGCGCTGTAGAACAACCAAGGTCTGGACTGGACCTACCTGCGTGGGTAGCTCATATAGGGCTGGGATGTGCAGACAATCTGGAAAGAGGTTCCCTGGATGGGAAACAGGAGCTACTCCCTTGCCCTCCTCAGCTTTTGTTGCCACATTCTCTCCTTGATGTGTGCAGCAGGGGCTTTGGAACGAAGGAGCAAACTTGTAGCGCTAAGCTAAGAGACACTGACCAGTGAATCATCTTTGATCAGAAAGCTGGGGTTTTCTGGGAGAAGGGACCTGTACTTTCCTTCCTCAAGAGAAGGAAAAGCTTAAACATCTGGTGGCTGACCAGATGTGAACGTTGACAGTTGGAGACTGAAGAAATGTCCAGATCCTCCTTGGGTAGGAGAGATTAAATGGTAATTATGCCTCAGCCTCCTATCTCTTATGGTTAAAGGGTGACTCTTTTGCTTTCCCTCAGCTGCTTCATCTTTTCCTTCCTCCCCTTCTCCTCCCTCCTCCAGATGCCTACACAAAGGCTGAAGTGATCTATTCCTGGACTCTTGGAAAAAACAAATCTGTGGAAGTGGCCCAGGATGGCTCTCGCCTGAACCAGTATGACCTGCTGGGCCACGTCGTTGGAACTGAGATTATCAGATCTAGTACAGGTACCAGGTTGTGGTGGTTCCAGCCAGACTCCCAAATGGCAACAGAGGCCACAGTGTGCTGTGCTGGGAAGAAGAAAGCTGGGTGGTGGTTCTAAAGTTAATTGAAGGTATATGAAGTGGTTATTTGCACAGCTCTACCAAGGCTGAGGATGCCTATCCATCAGTTCTGGTGTGCTGTGCCAGAAGACAGACTGGAGTAGAGGGCATGACTGGGATACTCCATCTGATTGGCTTGCTTTGGTATCCATAGAGGGGTTCACTTATGCAGTATTAGCCACTTTACGTACTAGCCTGTCCAGCAATGTCCATTCACTCGGGCTCAAGTGCCTTCATTCTGTGGCCAAGATATTGAGAAATAAAAATACTGGCTTTTTAAAATGGCACCAAGTCTAACCACTATAGCAGGGAACTATGGTGAGTTTCAGGCCCTCTTATACATGGAGGGTATGGCGATGTATAACATTTGAGAACCCAACATGTCACTTTACCAGTGTAACTGAAGAGCAGGTAGCCCATTCATTCGCCTCCATTCTGGTTGGATTGGGTGTAGTATTTACTTTCTCCATCCATGAGCTCCCACAGCAGCAGATGTCAGCCTGACCTTAGGACACTGAGAGGTTAAAGGATTTGCTTGCCTGAGGTCACTGCTAGTATTCCTCCTGAATCTACTTTAGCTAATTATGCCAGTTACCAAAAATGTGTCTCTAGCAAATCTTTTCTGATTTAATGAATATTGATTTTTTTCCATCTGCAGTGCTTCATTTTTCCTAGTTGCCCATGTTATAGGGAACTTCAAGGGTTCTTTGTTCCCCTATTCCCCTCCCTTTCTCCTTAGCTCTTCTATACTCATTCTTCTTCCCTTCTCTTTTCCTCATTACATTTCACGTATATTTTACCCCTGGACAGACACCAGGGAGCTCTCCCCTCACTGTGGAGTGCTTTCCTTCCAGTGTTCTTGATGTTAATAGACCCTGCCTTTAACAACCTGTATCTCCTCCCTAACTAGCCCCCGAGGGCACATGGAGGAGTCCAAGAATTCATTGTCAGAATGTCTGATCCAGGTCTATTTCTCCAGAGAAGAACTAGCAAGCAAGAAAGAAACAAACTTTTATTTTATTATATGCATGAGTGTGGTGGTAGTGAAGGGAATTCAATTCGAGAAGTATTCATTAGGCCTTCCCTATGTGCTAGGCACCGTGACATGGTGAGGATGCAAAGACAACAAGCCAAAGTCTGTGCCTCCAAGTGGTTTACAAGCTACGGGTGTGTGTGTGTGTGTGTGTGTGTGTGTGTGTGTGTGTGTGTGTGTGAAGATGGACAAAGTATACAAAAATAAGTAAATGCAATGATTGCACATTAAACAAGTTATTTCAAGAGGGAGAATACATTAATAACTGGGGGAGGGCAGGTGGAAATCTGAAAAGCACCCATGGATGGATGGATGGATTTGTCTATCACCCAGAGGATGTGAAACCTAATATGTTCTTTGAAGGAAGCTAGGAATTCTTAGAGGCTGAGGTGAAGAGGGAGTGCATTCCAGACATGGAAGTTCACCTGTGCAAAGACATGAAGGTGAGAGATGGAACATCATGTATGGGTAACAGCTAGCAGATCAGTTTGACTGGAACAGAGAACCTGAAGGGAAGTAATGTAAAACAAGTCTAGAAAGGTAGGTAGGAAATAGATTCAATGCCAGGTTGAAGAATTTGGGTTTTATCCAAGAGCCAGTAGAGAGCCACTGCAGATTTTTGAGTGAGGAGTAACTTTAGGAAGATTACATTGGCAGCTCTGTGTGGATTGGAGGGGATTGGAGAAGAGGAAAGAGAGCCTAGGGGCAGGGAGGCTAATGGCCTGAACTAGGGCAATAGTGGTAAGTGGAGAGAGAAGGGCAGAGATGCTGGAGATGTTGGGGAGCTCAAATTGTTGACTTGGCAATTGATTCGATGGAGGAGATATAAAAGAGAAGGAAGAGCTAAGGGTGACTCTGATGTTGCAAACTTGGATGATTGAAAGGATGATGGTTCCCTTAACAGAAGAAGAACGGGATTGGGAGGGAAATAAGATGACTTCTGTTTGGACTTAGATATGGACATGCTTATGCAACCAAATGAATAGCCCTCAAAACTATCCATGCCAAAATGGCCTACAGCAGAAACCAGTCACTTTTCTAGATCATTTGTTACAGAGTACATATAACTATGGGATGCTCGCCTACATGAGAGTCAAGTGTTCACTAGGTCGCACTGTTCTCGGTAATCAGTGATTTAATCATTGTCTTCTTCGCCGTCCCCTCATTTTGATAGAGTGAATTTTATTTTGCAAAGAGCTTTTGCTTTTAATTACTTCATTTCCTTCTCACAACGCCAATATGGGTGGTTAGGGCAAGTGTAATTATACTCATTTTACAGATAAAGAAACAAGAGAGGTAGAGTGACTTATTCAAAGTCAGCCAGAAAATAGACACCAGGTTATCTTGACACCTTCCATCTTTCTATTTCCTCCCAAATCCATCCCTTTTTCTCAACTTCTCCATTTCTGTTGATAGCACCATTTTCATTCCAGTCACTCTGTTTCACAACCTCAGAGCCATTCAGAACTCTGCCCCTTCTCCCTTATCCTCTATTTCTTGTGAGTTGCCAAGTCTTATGTTCTTTCCAGGGTATGGTCTCTCATCACATCAGCCCCATCTCCCAGGAGTTCTATAGCCCCTCTCCATCAATTCAAATGACTACTTGGCAAATAGTCACTGTTTATTGGAGCAAAAAGAAATCCGGTGATGGTTAACAATGTGTATATGTACGTGAGGGAGAGGTTGGAAATTTCACACCTGGTGATGAGGCCTGGGGTGCTCAACTAGCAGAGCTAGCTATGTCTGGCCCCCATGGTGATGCCAACAGTATTGCTGTTTTCTGCCTAATCTGTTCTCTCCAGGAGAATATGTCGTCATGACGACCTACTTCCACCTTAAACGCAAGATCGGTTACTTTGTGATACAGACCTACCTACCCTGCATCATGACTGTCATCCTGTCTCAGGTTTCTTTCTGGCTTAACCGGGAATCTGTCCCTGCTCGTACAGTCTTTGGTGAGTGTTGAACAATAGTGGAAGTATTCCCTGTGGAGGGCACTGTGCTCCCAGGTGTGGCCCCTAGGCAAAGCAATTATAGTAAAGGGTAGAACCTAGGCACTGGGGGTCCTCACCTCTGAGGCTGCAACTTACCTCTTTCTGCATGCAGCCTCAGGCTCCCCAGTCACTTGGTTGGAGTCCATTCAGGATTCCATTCCTTCCAATCCTGTCTGATGGCCCATCTCAGAGAGGGAACATTTTAGACACTAGAAAGGTGGTGAAGGGTCATAGGGGCAGAGATTTTAGACATGGGAGGGACCTAGGAAGTTATCTAGTTCAACTGCTTCTTGAACAGATGTAGAAACTAAGGCCCAAAAAAAAAGAAGTGACTTGCTCTAGGTCACATGCCTATATCATGGAAGAGCTAGGGTTTGAACAGAGGCTTCTTGATTCATTTATCTGGCCTCTCAATTGCTCAACCCTGTTGCCAATCAAAAAGTGTTTCTTGGGTCAATTCAAGTAAACAAGCGTTTATTAAGCTCCTACTGTGTGTCAGACACTGTGATAAGCTCTGGGGTACAGAGAAAGGCAAAATACAGTCCCTGCTCTCAAGGATCTCATGACTAATGGGGAGGGAGACAGTAGGCAAACAATTATGTAGAAATAAGATATATGCAGGGTAGATTGGAGGTAATCTCAGAGGGAAGGCACTAGCACGAAGTGGGGCTGGTAAAGACTTCTTGGAAAATATGGAATCCTAGCTGGAACCTAAAGGAAACCAGGGAAGCCAGAAGCCAGAGTTGAGGGGAGAAAGAGAGAGAGTCTTTCAGGCATGTGGGACAGCCAGTGAAAATGCATGGAGTCGGGTGATGGTGGAGTGTCATGCATGAGGGATCAGCAAGGAGGCCAGGGTCAATGGATTGAGGTTCTAGGGAGGGAAGTAAGGTGAAGAAGACTGGAAAGGTAGGAAGGGCTTTAAAAATGAAACAGAAGACTTTCTATTTGAACCTGGAGGTCATATGGAATCACAAGAGCTTATTGATGAGGGTTTGTGACATGGTTAAATCTGCACTTTAAGAAGATAATTTGACACCTTAGTGGAGAATAGATTGGAGTGGGGAGAGACTTGAGGCAGGAAGACCAGGCAGCAGTCCAGGTATGAGGTAAGGAGGGCCTGCACCAGGGTGGCTGCAGTATCAGAGGAGGGAAGGAGGCATCTGTGAGAGATTTTGTGAAGGTATAATCTACAAAACTTTGCCAGATTGGATGTGGGGTGAGAGAGAGACAGAGGAGTCCACACTGTTGCCTTGCTTGTAAGCCTGGGTGACTGGGAGGATGGTGGTGTCCTTGACAGTAAAAGGGAAGTTTGGAAGGGGAGGGGGGTTTTAGGAAAACATAATGAGTTCAGTTTTGGATAGCTTAAGATGTATATGGGACAACCAGTTTGAGATATCAATAGGCAGTTGGACATGAAGGGCTGAAGGTCAGGAAAGAGGATTGGGCTGGATAAATAGATCTAAGAATCATAGGCATAGAGATGATAACTGAATTCAGGGTAGCTGATGAGATTGTATGGAAGTGAAATTGTATGGAGAAAGCCCATACAAAGAAAGAAAGCCCAGGACAAAGTCTTGAGGTACACCAACAATTAGTAGGCATAATCTGGATGAAGATCTAGTGAAGGGGTAGGAGGAGAGATCTGTGTCATGAAAACCTAAGAAGAGAGAATCAAGGAGAAGATGGTTATTGACAGTGTCAAAAGCTGCAGAAAGGTCAAGAAGGATGATTGAGAAAAAGTCATTCGATTTGACAATTAAGAAGTCATCCTCAACTTTGGAGGAGCTGTTTCAGTTAAATGATGAGGTTGGAAGCCAGATTGTAGAGGGTAAAAGAGAGAGAGAAACGGAAGTGGAGATGTAGATTGTAGATGTCTTTCTCAAAGAGTTGTCTGGAAAGGGAGAAGGATGATAACTGGTGAGGATGGAAATGATGGGGTTGGCTTTTTTTTGAGAATGAGGAGACAACGGGGTGCATCTGTAGGCAGCAGGGAAGCAGCCAGTAGACAGGGAGAGATTAAAGGTAAGTGAAAGAATGAGAAGGATAATGGCACCAATCTGCTGGAGAAGAAGGAATAGAATGGGATTGCTTGCATATAGAGAGGTTGGCCTTGGCAAGGAGAAGCATCACCTCTTCAGGTTAGATGGGATTAAGGAGGAGATAGTAGGGGGAGACAGCTAAGTAATGAGAGAAGAGGAGGGGGGGAGAAGAGGGAGCTCTTGGTGAATGGCATCCAGTTTGTATGGAGTCCTATGCTCAGGCCTTCCAGGGATGCAAAGATGCAGTGTCCCTGGACTGTCTGGGAGCTTGCTCTTGAATTGGGGTGACCAACCATATATACAAAACCTGCCCCAGTTGGCAATGGGAAGCAAAGTGATAGAACGTGCCCCAGGTTCAGTGTCAGCAGCCCTGGCTTGAAGTTCTGGTTCTCCCACTAACACTTTCTATTGACTTTGGAAATATCATTTTCCCCTCTTGGTCACTTAGGTTTCCCCATGTGTAAAATGAGGGAATTGGACCAGGCAATCTTGACAGAACTTTGTGGCTAAGATGTTCTCTATTGCAGGCCCATCTCATCCCTACTTCTTCAGTGGATGGTTGTGTCTCTAGAAGCCAGGAGCTTTGCTGCTCCAATGTCCTCTCTTGGGTTAAGCGGGAGAAGAAGACCTCTCCCAGGGGGCCTCTTATGTCCTTTCCTGCCCCTGGCCCTAGTGCTTTGTAAGGACCCTTCGTTGTTTTTCCAGGTGACTGCCAACCAGAAGGGCTTGCCCAAGATGGTGGCTCTCCCCAAACTCACCCCCACCAGGTGACCGCTAACCAGGAGGGCTCACTCAAGATGGCGGCTCTCCCCAAACCGCCCCCCCCCCACACACTCCCAGAAGAGAAGGTTGCTCAGGACATTTCCCTGACAGGCCCAGGAAAATATGCATCCTCCCAAATAGAACACTGTGCCTGCCTGTGGTGGGCAGAGGGTTGCTGAACAATTGGGCCTATTATCTTAGCTTGACAAGCTACAAATTCAGTTAGTGTGTTAATTAGTCGCTAGCAATATTATTAATTTATTGGGCTGATTCCTGTCATGGCTCAAAATTTGTCTCTGCTAATCAGCTCCCTTGATGACACCCTGCTCAATTTGGAGCTGCACATGGGCAGCTTCAGATTGTTAGCCCTCAGTGGAAATAGAAGAGCCTGTTTATGCACTCACCACCCTCCTTCCCCCCCCCCCCCCCCCCCGCCCAGCTCTAGCTGGTGCTTCAATGCCCCTGAGAAACAGCCCTAGCTGAGGAGGTTGGGGCCTGAGAGATTGTTTGAGTTCTAGCTCTTGCCTCCTTCCCTCTGTCCCCAAAGCACCCCATCTCCTGGTGCTCCAACTATGCCTTCCCCTCCTCCATCCCTAAACGTTTGCCCTGCATTACAATTCTCAGCCGTATCCTAGTTACTGAACTCTCTGACCCTCCCAGCACCCAACTCACCCTATGTGGAGAACAATCCTCCCTTCCACATGGAAAGTAGCGACGGTTTCCAAAGCAGCTTCTTCATTCTCTCACTGAATCCTGATTACCCATTTTGGAATTCATACCCACTTTACAGATGAGGAAATTTGTTTCCTCCTAGAGGCTAATAGGAGGCTTTGAAAAGAACACCAGACTGGAGGTTAGGAGACCTTTTCTAGTAAATAAGGAGAGATTTGAACCCAGGTCTCTTGATTCCACTGCACCACACTTGCCTCCAGGATCTATTGATGCCCCATGTGTATCCATCTCTATATCCATATACCCAGAGTCTCCGCACTGGAAAGGGTTTTGTCTAGTCCAACCTACATGTGAATAGAAGTCACCTTAAGTGGCCATCCAGCCTCTGCTTGGAGACTTCCCTTGGTGGAAAGCTCCTTCAACTTTTGGGTCTCTCTAATTCTTAGAGAGTTTGTCCATATATTGTTGATATGTCTGTCGACATGTTAGGATCCTAGATACAGAGCTGGAAGGGTTCACTAGTCCAACCTCATTTTACAGCTAAGGAGACCGAGGTCTGGAAAGATGAAGTGACTTATTGTCCAAGGTCATCTATTACACCTGGGTCTAAGTGAAACCAATCTAATTCATTTTGAAAATATCTGAAGATGGCTATTGCATCCTTCTGGAGCCTTTTCTTCTCCAGAGTATAAAGTTCCCTGGTTCCTTCAACTTCTCCTTGTATGGCGCCATCTCTGGCCCCAAGGCTAGCTTGATTTCTCTCTTCTGGATGCTCTCTGGCTTATCAAGGACTTTCCTAAAACATGGCACTGAGACCAAACCCAGTGCTCCAGAGATGGTCTGCTGAGGGCAGAGGATAGCAGAGACTGATCCCTCCCTTGGTCCTGGTTTCATGCCTTTGGTAACACAGCTTCATTGGCTGTCTTGTCATACTGTTGACTCATATGGAACTTGCCATTCACCAGAGATCCAAATTGATAGCGTGCTGTGCCCAAACTAACATGATTAAATTTAACAGAGATAAAGGTAAAGTCATCTACTTGGGTTTTTAATAAAATTCAGCTGCAGAAGCAGAGAAGTGGGGAGGGGGATACGTTATACAATAGCAATTCATATGAAAAAGGCTTCAAGGTCAACATGAGCCAACAGTGTCGCGTGGCTGCCAACCAAGGTACTGCAGGCCTGGGCCGTGGTAAGATGGAAGGAGCATCCAGCATGTGGGAGGCGACAGCCCCGTGACATTCCGCTTTGGTCATACCCACATGTACAACAGGATGGTGAGTTCTGGAAGGCTAATGACAAGCTGACGTGTCCAGGGGAGGGGAACAAATGTGACAATTACCCATCCCATGGAGCAGGCAGTAGAGTGGAAATGTGTTGTAATGGAAAAGGCATCAGATTGAGATCTGTGAGAACTGGATTCTAGTCCTGACTTGGGCACTAGAACTATGTGACCTACTGCAAGCCATAGCCTACCCCAACTCTGGCCCTCAGTCTTTCTTGTAAAATGAAGGGGTTAGCTTAGACCTCTAAGATCCCCTCTGACTCAGAATTCTTATCCTGTGACTTTTCTCTGGTGCCTCAAGGGGGAAGAACTGTGACCAAAGTAGCCAGGAGGCAGACCTACTCAATGAAAGGGAGAACTTTCTGACAATGAAAACTGCCCAACAATAAATAGTCTGTGCTCTGTCTTGAAATGATGAACTTTCTGTCACTAGAAATGTTTGAGCAGTGGCCAGATGGTATTTGTTTGGAGAGGGCATCCTGGCCTGGGTAGAAGGTTAGACAATATGACTTTGAGATTGCTTCCAGCTCCGTGATGCTCTCTGGTTTAGATGACTTCCTTTGAAATGACCCCTCTTTCCCTAGGTAAAACTGGTGAGCACATTTATCAGACTTATCATCTTCTGATGGCAGTGGATTCTTCCCTTCTTTCCCTACAGGGGTCACCACTGTCCTCACCATGACCACCCTGAGCATCAGCGCCAGAAACTCTCTACCTAAGGTGGCGTATGCGACGGCCATGGACTGGTTCATAGCCGTCTGTTATGCCTTTGTGTTTTCTGCGCTGATTGAATTCGCCACTGTCAACTACTTCACCAAACGGAGCTGGGCTTGGGATGGCAAGAAGGTGATAGAGTCTCAGGAACAGAAGGTGAGTGGCTATGGGAAGAGGGCAGAGGGAGGGGCTAAGAAGCAACCCACGAGTGATCTGCATTGGGACCAGGAGTGGGCAGCATGCAGCCTGCTGGTATTGAATGAGGCTGTGTTCTATTCACTGGGGTCATCAATCCAGGTCTCGACTGGTGTGCTTCTTGGCAGCTAGGAGGGAAGGAGGGAGGGAGGGAGGGGGGAAAGGCTGGAGTTAAGCTTGGAGGAACCACAGTACTGGTGAGCAGGAGTGTGAATCCCCAGCATATACCAGTCATGTTGAGGGAAATACACAAAGGACGATGAGATGACAGAAAGAAGGTAGAATGGCTCAACTCTGGTTTTGCTTCCATTTTCTCTGTCTAGTATAACAACTTTCAGTTCAGAAGGGGTAGAATAAATCTGGTTAAGTGGGAATTGAATCCCAAGACAGGCAAGGAGGTAATAAAGAAGTAGCTGGTCACTAAATAAGTTCTAGCCCAGATGAATTACATCTCAGGGAACTCAAGCGACGTGCAGTTCTCATTGACTCATGACCAGTGTTAGTCATCTTGGAGAAATCATGGTCGGAGGCCAGAATACTAGAAACAGGCAGATTTCCCAATATCCAAAAAAGGGAAAAACATGAATTTCAGAATTCACTAAACTAAGCTTTGACACCAGTCCCTGACAAATTCTAATTATGGATTATTAATCAAATGGTTTGTGGGCCTTTAAGAATGCAGAGATGTCAGGAGCCAATATAGGTTTACTACGACCAAGTCATACTAACCACATTTCCTTTATTTAGCAGAATTACTAGACTGGTAAATCTATAGCAATGCTAATCCAAAGATAATGGATCTTGATTTCCACAAGGCATTTGACAGTGTCTCATGTCCCTGTGAACAGATGGAGAAATGCGGGCTAGATTATAGTAGATTTAGGTGGATTCATAGCTAGCTGAGCAACAAGTATGAGTGGTAATTAAGGGATTGATATTACCCTGGAAAGGAGTCTCTAATGGTGTATTGTATGGCTCTGTCCTTGGTCCTATCTGGTTCAACAGTTTTATTAATGACTTGGACAAAGATATGGAGGGCACGTCAACCAAAGTTTCAGATTCCATGACATGAAGCTGGGAGGGATAACAATCAAGATTCTACCATATATCAGCAGACCAGAATGATAGGCTGAAACACAAAAAAAAATCACTTTAAGGAAGATAAAGTCTTACATTTGTGTTCAAAAATATATTGCACAAATACAGGATGGAGAAGATGTGGCTTAGCAACAGTTCACTTGAAAAAGAAAAAGAAAAAGAAAAAGAAACCTTGGATTTTTAGTGGCCTGCAAGCTCAGCGTGATTCAGTAGTGTGACGTAGCAGCCCCAAAAGCTAATGCAATCTCAGGCTGCATTAATAGAGACACGGTGTCCAGAACAAGGAAGATAATAGCCCTCCAGTACTCTGCACTTGTCAAATATTATCTGAAGTATAGTGCTCACTTCTGGGCACCACATGTTAAGAGAGGCATTAGTAAGTGTGTTCAGGGCTGAGTTGCCAGCAAGGTGAATGGTCAACCATGCCATATGAAGAACTGCTGAAAGAATTAAGGAAGATCAGCCTGGAGAAGGGAAGACTTGGGAAAGGGAAGGATGGGGAGGGGGGCATGAGAGCTGCTTTCAAATAGCTGAAGATTTGTCATGTGAAAAAGGAAATACAAGTGTCCAGCGTAGCTCCAGAGGCCAGACCTAGGACCAAATGGGAGGCAGATTTCAATTCAGCAGAAAGAATTTAACATGTGGCTCTGTTCAAAACTGGACTGGGGTGTCTTGTGAGGTAATGAGCTCTACATCATTAGAGGTGTTCAAGTAGAGGCTAAATCACTACCTCAAAGGGACATTCTTGAATTGGGGTAGGAGGAGACGACCCTATAACCTCCAAAATTCCTTCAAACTCTACTACTCCCCACTAAACTCATCCTGTTGACTCATTGGGCCCCCCTCTTTGCCCACACCCTTCCTACCCTCTCAGCAGCATGGCTTCTCCCCACTCCCACACCCTCCCACCCTCCCACCCTGCACTGGTGCTGACCAGCTCTTATAGTAAGAGAGGAGAGGAAGTAGAGTAGCTTCACACCCTCCTGCCACACTTTAAGGGCTGCCTGTGACCAGTATATCTTGGGTGCTGAATGGGGGTTTCTCTGTGGCCCACTGGCACCACGGGAGGGGAAGGGAAGGATGCCTTGCAGTTCCTTAGCCCTTCCTCTAATAAGGCATCAGTGGAGGAATAAAAGGCTCTTAAGGGATGGAAGGTGCCATTAGAGGCTCCTGGTAGAACTATACCTGAAGTAGCTCAAAATGCCAGCTTGTCTATCCTTGAAGCTACAAGCTCAAGAGATCATTTGTTTCAAATATTTAACTACCCTTCATTTAAAGATCTTGGTGTCTACCCTGTTACCTCTCTTGCTCTAACTTGATCTTAAGATCATAGCTTTTAAGTAGGAAGAGACCTTAAATATCTAGTCCAAGTCTCTTGTTTTTGACAGATGAAGCAACTGAGGCACAGAGAGGGAACATGACTCATTCAAAGTCACACAGGTAGAAAGTGCCCAGGTTGAGGATTAAAACCCAAGTCCATTGACTATAAATCCAGTCCTCCTTGTATTACTTCTCCTAATCATCTGCAGAGACCAACAGTCTCTGGATAATTTTGCATCCATTTGAAACCATGAAGGGGGACCTTTGTATTCTCTTCAGAGGCTGGAGAGGTGGCCATGCTGAATATATGGCTTGGCTCCCTAGGATGTCCTTACCCATTAGAATTCACCCTTAAGGCTTTGAGGAAAATTTACTAAGCAGGGAACTAGGAACAGCTTGGGGAAATGTTTGGTGCCTTCCTTCCTGGGCATTGGCTTTCCCCATAGTACTTTCTTAATTTCTGGGCAAATAACTGCCAGACAGCTCCTCCATCACCCCAGCCCTCAGCCAATCTCTATTCCAACCCTGTATGCTTACAGAAAGTGCTTACTCTAGCATGACTGGTCCCGTCTTTTTATTAGTGAATCAATTCTGAAATCAAGCTTTGTCCTTGACATTCATTCTGGAGGCTGGGCTTGGGGGAGGGCAGTGGGGGTGGGAAGGGAGGAAACTCATCAGAATGTGCTTTGTGGGTCAGATAGGGAAAGGAAAAGGAAAGAGGAGGGGAATGAGATTCTTGCCAAAGCAAGGGGCTCTCCAGTCCTAGGGGCAAGTGGCAAGAGGTGAGCCCATTGAAACAAGGGCCCTAGTTCAGTAGCTTAACTGTTAGTGCTGACCATCACCTTAGAGGTCATTTAGTCTAACATCTGCTCCTAGCACCTAGTAGGACCCCACTACTTATTCATTGAACTGAACAAGGACACCGGTGCCCAGATTGTCTATGAAATTTGCCCAAGGTCATCCAATTAGTGGCAAGTCCGTGGATTTGAAAATAAGTCCCAGAGAGGGCAGATGGCAGACCTAGGAGTTGGGGCTGCATTTTCTCTGTATTTCTACAGGATATGTATTTTTATGTCAAGGACTACTGAGTCACAGGGGAAAAAATAATCAATCTCAAGTCATATAAATGAAAGGCAAATTAATTTTGTCCTTTTAGGAGAACTATAAAACATCATCCCCATCTACTTTTTAAATTAAGGGGGCATAAAATGCTATTCAATAAATAGAACAACACCTAATAAAAACATATACTTTGGTTCTACATCACAGCCAGTTAATGGACAGAGAAATGGGGAAGCAAGAGAGACCAGGATAGAGGGAGAGAGGCAGCTTCCTTGTTTGCCAAAGAGGTTTTCTGGCCATTTTTTTTCTTTTCAATGGAAAAAACCACTAACTTCCTTCTTTTGAAATTGGGAGACAGTCACATCCCATGTAAAAGAGAAAAAATTATCTGTTTTCATAGAATAACATCCCTGTCTTGTAGCCATGGTCAGTCAGTCGGTCAAGAAGCTTTGATTAAGTGCTTATTCTGTGCCAAGCATTGTGCCAAGTGCTGGGGACTGGATGAAATTAAGCCCAAGGATGGCTTCACCCCATCAGAACCCATGCTCTGTAGCAAATGTCATTGGAAGGCACCTTGCTTTGACAAGAATCTCCAAGGGATTTGGAAGGGGCCAGGGAAGATCAAGTGGCTCGCTTAGCCAATCACAGAGGTGCTTGGCACCTTCAGCCTCCAGGTTTAGAATTGAGCAACTGTCTCTCTTGTCTCTTCTGGGACAGCAGGGTTTCTTTGCTGAGCTTGTATCACCTTAGGAACAAGTTTCAGGTCAGGCTGACCATGCCTAGTATTCAAGGCGATTGGAGGCATCCTGTGTTACTGGGTCATTTGGATGTCTGGTTTAGACATTAGTAGTTAGGTGAACTGGACCCTTGGCTATGATCCCATCCAGTTTAAATAATTTGGCTTTTGTTGTGCTCTCCATATTTTCCCTCAACACTTCCCATCCTGCCTCAAAAGCAGAGCAGTGTCCACCTTGGGGAAGGAACATCCTGGGAGTTTTGAGTGGGAACTGAGAATAGCATCAGTCTTTGATTAGAAGTTCCAGATTCTCCCAGGAGGTTGTTCCACTACCTATACGTACCCAGAATTCCTTGCAGGACCCTAAAGGGGTATGTCCTTTTTATCCAACTATAGGAGGCCCCTTTCCTGAGCCCAGTCTGGGAGTTGCTGGGAATGTCTTTTCCCAGAAGCCTCTAGGCTGCCTGAGTCCCTGGCCCCTGCAGACCAGCTGGATAGCTTTAGGGGATTGGGACTGGGACTGTGTCCCGTGTTTGCCTGGCATTTTGAGTCATAGGCCATGTTGCTTTGGTGCTGTCTGGCATGAAAGTTCACTACTGAGTCTGTCTCATCCTTTAATTAGCTCTACTCAAAACAACTGTCAGGAGGAGAGCTGAGAACCAGACTGCCAGTGGACAGGGAATAGCTCTGGGCTACATTTTCAAAGTATCCTTCTTAGTGGGAATAGATATACATATATATATATATATAGTATATGTACATGCATGTACACATACACGTATGTTCATACCCCACCCAAACGCAGCCCTCCTGGGGCAAGGTTCAGTCTCCTTGTGGGATTAGAGGGGTCTTGTTTTGGCGTGGGTATTAGGGAAGGATAGTAAATTATAACTAGCATTTGTATAGCACCTGAAGGTTTTCAAAGCATTTTATCTCATCGGATCCTCACAACAATTCTGGGAAGTACGTTATGTTTTGTTGTTCAGTCACTCAGTAGTGTCTGACTCTTTGTGACTCAGTGGACCATAGCACACCAGGCCCTTCTGACCTGAGGGGCTCATCTTCTGATGTCATCTCTATTAGCATTTGAATGCTTGGGGTTTTCTTGGTGAAGATACTGGAGTGGTTTGCTACTTCCTTCCCCAGTGGATCACCTTTTGTCAGATTTGAACTCAAATCCTTCTGACCCCAGGTCTATTGCTCTATACACTGAATTACCAAGCTGCTTTACTGAATCCTCATTTTGATGTCTTTAGAAGCCATAGCTTACTAGGCCCCTGGGCCAGAGGGAGCTTTCTCTATATGGCTCTGTGTATTGGGTGACCAGTGGTCCCCTACTGGCATGATCCTTAAATACAGGAGGTGTTCAAAGAAGATTTATTGAATTGGAGCAAGATTAAGGCCGTGCAGGAAAGTTTAGCATAAAAAACCTTGGCTTAGGAAGCAGGAGACCTGAGTTCTACAGCCAACCTTGTCACCAAATTTCCTGAGTAACCTTGGGCAAATCTCAGTTTTCCCATAGTTAAAAGGAGGGCACTGGATTAGATGGTCTCTTAGGTCCCTCTGAGCTCTAACAGACTCTCTGGATTCTCTCTTACAGTATGGGGTAGAGCATCTGGGACCAGAGAATTCTCACTTTGTGGTCCAGACAGTGTCCTTGGATCTCCCTGATTTGCTTAAATTTGTCACAGAACCAGGGAGCAATGCTTTAGTTTCTACACTCCGCTGTTCGTGTGGGGCTCACTTCTCAGGGGAGCATCATTGCCCCAAAGGCAGGGCTTTATTTTCTCTGTACTTTCTCCCTTGGGCCTGAGAATTGTTTGCAGTCTATAGCAGGGGTTGGCCAGGTTAAGTCCAAGTAGGTCTGCCCTGCTATTGCCCAGGGCTGCTGGACAGCTCCTTAGGTTTGAAGCATCTAACCATCTCTCTTCCATATAGAATTGTAGTTTCCTCTGCCACTGGCTCAAAAATCAATCCCTTGGAATGGAGAGGGAGAGGCATTCTCAGCATCTTCAATTGATAGTGTTGGTCTTTGTGCTATACAAAGTGGCTTAACTACATGTGCTACCTACCCTCTATAAGCTTACATTCTGAACTGAGTAGCATCAAGCAGGAAGAGAAGAAATACAATACTGGTCTGAGAAGTGATGGGGGTAGTAGGCAAACCATGGGATCAAATCTCTCCCATGACATTTACTAACTAGGAGACCCTGGGCTCCACTCACAGTCTCATTTTCCTCATCCTTAAAATGGAGATAATAATAGCTACATTCCTTAGCTTACAGGAAAGTGCTTTGCAAACTTCAAAGGCTGTAGAAATGTTAGAGATTATTTATTGGCCCAGAGACTATTTCCTTCTTTTAAGAAAATTGGACAAATAACCCTCTGTAAAAATAAAGTGAAGTCCTGAGAGTAAGGATATTTCGACAGCATAAAACATGATTAGGAGTCAGGAAACTGTCATCCAAGAGAGTTAATGTGGTACAGCTGTAAGAGACTGACCTCAAAGCAGAAGTCCTAGGTACAAATTCTGCTTTGGCCACTTACTACCTGTGGAATCATCTACCGGCCACTTCATCTCCCCGGGACTCAGTTTTTCATCTGTAAAATAAAGGGGGGTGGACCAGATGACATCCCTTCCAGCTCTAGGTTTATGGAATTGGGGGTATTAAGTTTGGAGCAGAGAAGAATTCTGGGGCAGGGTTGGGGGGTGGGGAGGCTGACTATCTTCAAACCCAACAAATTCCTAACAATTAGAGCAGGGGTGGGGAAACTGCGGCCTCAAGGCCACATGTGACCCTCTAGGTCCTCAAGTATGGCCCTTTGACTGAATCCAAGGTTCACAGAACAAATCCCCTTAAGAAAAGGATTTGTTCTGTAAAACTTGGACTCAGCTTTCCAAAGTAGGAATGGTCTGCCTTAGGAGGTAGAGAGTAGCTTGAAGACTGGAAGTTATGGAGAAGATGCTTGTCTAGGTGTAGGCTGTGCTGGATAATTGCATATCTTCCAACTTTTAGATTCAGAGGGTCATAGTGAGTCCTCTACTAGGGTGGAAGACATGAGTTTTGGCAGTGGCCCCAAGGAGGCAGTAGATAGCATGGCCCTCAAAGGAGATGGGCTAAGTTGTCTCAGAATTGTTCTAGTGGGTATACATGGAGGAGGAAGGACTCTCCCCTGTCCTGGTGGCACATTATTTTACCTCGTGGCACTCACAGCGCTCTCCCAAAGAGTGCAGGTGACCACTTGTCTCTTTTCTTCTCAGGAAAGGTGCATCTCGTGCACTGGCATTTGCAAAACCTTTGGTGGTGATCCCCTAAAAGCTCGGTGCTGCTTATTTGCAAGGTTCACAACTCATTTCCTGCTAGACTTTCAAACTCCAAAACATCCCAAGTGATGTCATTTAAACTTTCAGAAATCAAATTTCCATAGGGAAGAAAAATGAATTTGGGGGGGTTTGGCATTAGTTTTGCTACTATTTCCTTCCACCTCCTTTTTCCTCTGTCATTCATACTATAGTGAGGCCAGGATACTGGTGACAGATTAGTCCCTGGCCATTCCTAACAACCCTCCTCCCTCCGTATCTGTCTCCTCAAAGGGTCTTACCAATCAATAGACAATGTTTCCAAGGGCTTGGAGCCCTGAATGAAGGGTGGGGAGAAGAGACAGAAACATAACTGAGATTGTCAGTGAGGTGCACACTGGGCCTGGAGACCGCTCCATGGTCATGGAATTGTTTTTTTCTAGTCAAACCTGATCATGATGGACTTGGAAATGTGCCATCACTGGAACTTGGGGACATTCCAACAGAATCATAGAGTGTTAGAGCTGGAAGGAACCTCAGAGAGCATCCTGGCCACCCTCACTCCAATTTTATACATGGGGAAACAAAGACTTTCCAGCTGAAACTTCCCTCACTTCCAGCACAGTACTCTTTACATCACAATGTTCAAAAAGTCATCTATCTTGGGGGAAGGTAGAGATACCAAGCTTAGGAATGATTTCACTTCTCCCTACAGAGCCAAGCTTTTGCCAAAAGCCCACCCACTTCAATTTGGTGAAGTATCACGTGAGTCAATCACATGAAATCCAAAGCCCCAAAGCTGTGAATGACATGTCCAGGAATTCTGGGCTGCTGGAGATAACTTGAGCTTCCTTTCCCAGTTGTTGTGACATTGCTACTCTCTTTTCCCGTGTGGACTCAGTCTCATGGGCAGCATCGATGGTAGCTTTTAAGAAGTAACCTACTAGGGCACCTGTGTTCTCTCCTGGGCTGAAGGCCCGGGGAAAGGTAGGTCATTCTTGGACCAGACCAAGCCCTTCCTGCTCCTCCAGACTGTCAATCACCTAGGAAGGTCACCCCATGTGTGTCCATGTATTGCTTTGCAGTATGATTTCATCCTCTCTGTTTTCCAGGACCATCACCCCGGACAGCTCCATGACATGGAAAACAATGAATCCATGGACCCAGTAGCTTCCTCCTCACTTCGCTGCTGCCCCTCCCTTCCTGTCCCTGTTCCTGAGCTGAGGGCAAGTGCCTGGGTCTCTCTCCCAGATAGCCCTGAGCTCTCATCCTATTCTTTTTGTACTGTTTCCAAGTCAGCTTCCCCAGCCACCTTGCCCCACTTCCACATGACCTGCAGAACTCACTCATCTGAGGCTGTGGGTAGTGCATACATACAATCATATTGATGAGTATTGTGTGGTAAATGTGCAATAAATTGATAATCCAAGTAGAGTCACCCCCACTTTATAGCTGAGGAAACTGAGGCTTAGATAGAATGACTTGCTCATTGTCACATAACTTGCAAATGGCCAAGTGAAAACTTGAATCCAGGTCCTTCTGACTCCAGATCCAGTGCTCTTTTTGCTACACATGTTTGTTAGACCTTAAACATAGAAACCTGGGAAAAAACCCACTAGATTTGGAAACCAAAATTTAGAAGAACTTGGTTCAGATATTGACTCTGCTACTTGCTGCCTATGAGAACTCGGGCAAATTCCTCTCATCTGGGCTTCAGTTTCTTCCTCCTTAAACAGAGGTAGATAACTTTTCCTAACTAAAATTTTTCCTTCTTTCTGTAGTCCCAGACTGCTGTGCAGTCTAAAGGGCCCTGACTTCTGGATGATATTGCATTTGGTATCAGTACATTACTCCCCATCATGAGTCATCATCCCTAACTGTAACCCTGGCCCCCCCACTGCCATTAGCTCCATGACTCCAGTGTCCTACCTTCCCCTTCTCTCCCCAGCCCTCCATATTGGTTTGTATGATGGAAATAATCAGTCTTTGTTTTGTTCCCCCTCCCCTGTTTTCCCACCCACCCACCCATTCCTATAGAAAAAAGAGCCGATGACCTTGGCCAAGAAAGCAAACAACACCTACAACATCGTGGGGACCACCTATGCTCTCAACATTGCCAAGGACCCTGGCCTCTCCACCATCTCAAAGAGTGCCGCAGCCACCGCTACTGCCTCAGGGGCAGCTGTCTCCCCACCCAAGACACCCCATGTGGTAGAGAGTCCCCCTGAAACCAAGAAGACCTACAACAGTGTCAGCAAGGTGGACAAGATCTCCCGCATCATCTTTCCTGTGCTCTTTGCCATCTTTAATCTTGTCTACTGGGCCACATACGTCAACCGGGAGTCAGCCATCAAGGGCATGATCCGGAAACAGTAAAGCCACAGTTCCACACACTTCATTGCCAAGAAGCATCCCAGGAGACAACGCCCACGGGTCTTCACTCATTTCCTTCTGAACATGCAGGCTCTGCTTTAAAACCATCAGCCAAGTTGTGACTCTTTCATTTGGCTCACTTTGGGCTGTCAACTTCAAAAAATGTCAATAAGGAAATCTGCCTCTAACATTGGGAGTCTGCCCTCCATCAGTACCATTTGCTGCTACCAGTCTTTTGGTTCACTAGCTTCCCCATCTTGCCTGCTCCCCTCAGCCCTGCTAGTCCTCAAAAGAAAGTCAGTGTGAATACCCATAATTCCATGCTAACATCCTACAGTTGTACATACCTCTTTGAGTATCCCCTCCCTATGCCTAGTCGCCATGTATTCACCATGGAGTACTTTGGCTGCCCTTGGTATTCCAAGGTGATGAAGCAGTACTTGGGGGCCTAGGCCAGACTCATTAGCCTCATGGGTGTATTTAACTGAGATTCCATAATGGGGATAAACAACAGCTGGATTCCCATACTATCTCGTCTCATGTTGTTTCTTATCAAGCCTCCCTTCATGCCACGGAGGTCATTGTAGGTTACCAGAGCTCCTGGGTTGTGGAAATAGGATTGTGGAAATAGGAGGACAAGAGTGTCTGAAGATCAGAACCACCAACTCCTGGGCCCTGGTCATGCCCACTTGTTTTCTCAGCAACACCATCTCACCCTGGCTGCCCTAAGTATGGCCTGCATGGACAGAAGTGACTGGCCCCACCTGGCTGGCCGCCCTTCTTCATGTCCTCAAGAAGCACCTCCTGTGCACTCTGAGGAAAACTTCTTTCCCTGGGAGCCCTGGTAGGATCCTTCCTCTGTTTGCCTGGCACTTGCCTGGAGGCATCAATTTGTCTGGCCTTGTTGGCTCCTGCAAATATTTTTTTACTCCCCAAATTCTCTCTTGCAAATTCTTCAGAAAGAGAATCAAGTATTTTTTTTTTCTTGAAGAAAACAAAACCAAGAAAAGCACCGAGGGAAAGACACTCTCCCAAGACGAAAGAAATTAAAAATGAAACTGACAAGATGAGGAGCCAGAAGTTTGGGGTGGGGTGAGATGCCAATAAGATGGACTGGTAGGGTTCTGAAACGTTCTTCTGTCTTAGGTTGCTGAAGCCTCAATGCTCTTCTCCAAGATGAACATGACCCATCCCTCACCAATCAGACTCTTCATAAAGACAAGAAGCCAGAAGCCAAGGGGGCTTGTGTAACTTGGACAGCCTTTCCTGCAGAGAGGGCAGCCAGCTAGATGACGGGGCTCCCCCAAGGTCTGTCTCAGGTTGCTGAAGCCTCCATCTTCTCCAGTTTCTCTAGCCCACCTCTGCCACATCAAACTGCCTGCTGAGACAAGAAGCCAGCAGCTGAGGAGGCAGAGGGTTGTAGCTTTGAAGTCACCCATGGAGTGGGCAACCAGCTAACTAGACTAAGTCCTACTTGCTATCCCAACGTGCTGAAGGCTCAACCTTCTCTCTAGCCAGGGACACCCACTCAGACTGTGAAGACAAGAAGCCAGAAGCCAAGGGGGCTGTTGACATCTAGGGAGGAATCCTGTGGAAATGGATGCATCAGATGGATGATCAGGATGACTGACTCCAAGGAATGCTGCTGTCCCAGGCTGCTGCCCCCGTACTGAGGGTCTCTGGTCCTCAACACACTGAACCTCCTGACTTGGGCAGTGTCATCAAGGTAGCCCCAAAATGAAACCTCCCTCTCAGACCCCTCATTTTGCCTCATTGCCCTTACATGGTTAGTCTGCATATTCTTTAGATTGGGAGATCCCAGAATGGGGTTTCTGAGTTCTGGCTGTCTTTTTATTTCTTGTCCTCCCCATCCCTTGCCCCTCAACCCTAGGACCCTGGGATCACTCAGATGAAAAACCGACTCTTCCTTTTTTTCCAAGTTAGGGCATCATGGAGGTCAGAAATCTCAAGAGGAGTAAATATTGGTAGGGACAGAAGGAAACTCTAAAAAACTGGGGTGTTCAGTGAAAGATGTAATGAGAATAAAAACTGTCTGCTTGAAAGCCTACCTAGATTCCAATCCCTCCCACACTGATTTCAGATTGACTCAGGGCCTCCATTGTAGCCACCCCTCTCTGCCTCCCTCTTTGTGACCAAACTGGGGACACTTTCTTACTCTCCTCCCTGCCCTGGCTGCCCACTTCTCTCCAGTGAAACCTATAAGCCTAGGGCATCTTCTCCCCATAGCAATCTCAAGGTCTTCCTCCAAATGAGCTGTCACCTGCCCTGCATGACTGGCTGGGATGTGACCTTTCCATTCCCTCCACATTTGTCATAGAGGGTCAGAGCCTCATTTGGTTAAATGCCATTGTCCTGCATCCTGTGCATACTGATGTGCCTGCAGCCTGCAGGAGACAAGATCCACCTGGATTCCAAGGGAATGGAGGACTCAGAGTGGGAAAGCACCAGGGACGAGTATATGCAAGGGGAGGGAGGAACTCTCAGTGGGCAGAAAGAGAAACAGCCTTCCTATTCTCTCTCAAACCTCAATAAAATGAGCAAAGGGGGGAACTAATGGAAGGACCTCCCTGGATATTAAAATCAGAAGCACAGACATCCTGAGAAGCACATTGCCACCCCCTCCTTCCCCGAGTCCTTTCATAACGAATTCTCCCACTGACTCTGTGGAGCTTGTAGGGATAGAGAGAGAATCTTTCGTTTTTAGATCAGGACTAGCTGTTGGACCACCTTAGGACGTGCTATTGCTCATGGCTAAGGAAGAGAAGTTGGTTTTGTCAGGAGACAGGATTCAGACAGTGGTCAGGAAATTCTAGGAGGACAGGAAAGAGCAAAAAAGGAAAGGACAGGCACATATATGGACCTCCACCTAAAGAAACAGTGGTTATGATTCTCATCCAACCAATCACACAGTCATGACTTAGATTTCTGTTCATATGGCTGATTATTTGAATAGAATAATATGACAAGCATTTATTAAGAAGCTACTCTGTGTCAGGTACTATGCTAGGTACAAAGGATACATAACCCAATACAAACATAGGAAGGAGGCTCTGCTTGACTAAGACCACCAGGGGCCATGAAAGGTTTTTAATTTGCCAGGGATATTTGATTTTCAGAACAAGGTACCAGGCCAAGCCAATATACGCTTTGGTACCTGGGAATCTTGAAAAACAGTGTTAACTCAAGGTTAAGGTCTTACTTAATCCAACCCATAATCAAGGCATAAGGTCTTACTTGAACTAACAAATGATTAGCCTTCCCAATAGAATTGTAAACAAAGCTATGAGTCCTGTATTCTTTGTCTACTGGTTCTTCCCAGCAGAGAATGTTATCCTTAGTTATAACATATGTATGCAGTGTGTGTGTGTGTGTGTGTGAGACATGCATACCTTCAGAGGCTAATGTTCTCAATAGGGTAGAACCCATAGAAAATTCATCAGAATTTCTTTTTGTAGTTGGTTGTAAAGGATAGCTACTTGCTAGCTTAAAACAGATCCTGATTAATAGGAAATCTTTCCAAGTTCAAAGGGATTGTTATTTACTATAAACATTTTAATGGAAGGAGTTCAAATGAACCAATGTTAGAGTTGAGATGGAAGGTGTAAACAGAAATTTATATAATGAATTGGTTAATTGGCCACCTCTGTTGGAGACAGCCCAAGGCTTTAGCCAGGCCACCCAAATGTACATAAGATTAGTATGGAACTAGATGCAGACAAGGATGTGTATTTGTATGTTTTATTAGCATAGATGCAGACCCCAGCAACTCACCCGGGTCAGCAAGGGTTTTTAGTCATGTATTCATTTGTGAAGTGAGGCTGGGGGAAGGGGGGGGGGACAATTGAGTATTGAAGGAGGATGTGAAGTTTTCTGATGTGAATATGAATTACGAACACATTTTTCTAGTGGGAGTTGTTTGGAACCACTTCAGTCACCTTCTCTGTCATTCCTGCCATCACTAGGATTATTGCTATCACTCTTGCAGACGTTAATATCTGCGATTTTTGAGCATCATGTTTCTGAAGAGCTCCAGACAATTACCTATGCCTCATTTCTCCTCACCTCCTCAGAGGGAATAATGAAGCAAGGTGTGGAAGAGGGCAAATATCATTCTTTCCACTTTGGAGGCAGAGAAACTGAGGTGTCAGGAGGTCAACTGACTCACTCCAGATATTCTTTGATTTTTTTTTTTACCCTTAGACTTTCCTTATTTTTTTCTCCATCCCTTTCCTCAACTTCTTTAAAGTCTGTGTCTTTCCCCTGCTCAGTCTAGACATTTTCCTTCATATGTTGCTCTTCAGGAAAGCCTCTTGGTCATTGGGGTACTCTCTAGAATGACTGACACCTCTGAGTGCCTCCTCTTTCCCCTCAGAGCTGTTCCTAGCCTGCTTCCATACCCAGGTCCAGTCTTCTTGCACTCATGTCTGGTTAGAACTTTCTCTTCTAGGGTTGTTCTTTTAGAACTCCTAGTAGGAGAAAGTTTCTTCTGGGGTTTCTCAGGATTAGCACACTAACACCGCTCTTTGCCCTCTTATAGACAATGTTGTATGGCCATCTCATTGGACTCAGGAGCCAATTTCTCCCTTCAGCTTCCTAGATTCAATTACCTATGCTGGCTGTGTCTCCTCCCATTCCCCCATATCTTCTACATGGGCAAACTCTGGTGTGTCCAGGCCCAATTCAGTACATTCCGCCCCTTTTTGTCAGCTCAGCTCCCCAAATTGTGCATGCAATTTCTTTTGCAAACACAGTTCTGCTGTGAGAAGTGCACTTTGGAAACATTTTTCTGGGTGTAGCATTGGGGGCAAAAGCCAAGAGCAGTGGTCATGCTAAGACCTGTTATCAATCAAAGACACAGTTATTCTCAGGGATGCATGGTAACCTAGTGCTCTGAGTGACCCCAGGGTTCAGGTCGAAGTATTCTCAGAACAATTTAGTAGAGTGAGCCTCATGAGACTTGGACACTGAAGATGGTACTTGTTTTGATGACCTGGGAGCCACTGGAAAGCATACCTGGCACTTGCCTGGCTGAGAAAATGGTCTGCGTGTGACCTGCAGCCACTCCTCTTGCACTGAGGTCCCTTCCTCATTCCTAAAGCCAGCATGCCCTGCCCTTCGATGAGGACTCCCCCCCCTCCCCAGTCTCTGCCAGGCTAGGATTTTGGCTTCCAAACTGTGAGAACCACTGTGAGGCAACATCCCCACCTTGAAGTGAAGGCAACTCAAGAGAAACAAATAGCAACCCCCCAATTAAGAAACTAGAGGGTTGCCCCTCTGACCAGACAGACTCCTAGAGCCATCTCTGCTCCCTACATACAGGTAATCAGGCCACCAACCACTTTAGTCACCCTTCCACTTTCTTTTCATATTCAACACCCTGCCTGGTTGGGTTTCTAGCCACAGGGGCCCTTTGTAGTCATATCCTGTTGCCCTCCTCAACCTTCAACCAAAGCCTGAGCTGACCCGATTTGTCTATAAGGCAGAAATTAATCTTATCCCCCAGCAGTAG